CTTTTTTCTTTTTCTTTAAATATACTGTTTTAATTACAGGAAATCGTCTTTTTTTTTAAAAAAAACGAAGCATGACAGAAATAGTTCAGATGATTATATGTATTTTGGAACTTGGCTTTGACTATGCCCAGATGTATGTAAAGGGCAACAGTACCATGAATGCTATCCGTTGATATGCTACCTCCTCCTTTAATTCTGACTGCTCAGACATTCATTAGCACGCATGCTAACATGAGGTCCTCCTATTTGGAGGCCATCCCCAGATAAAACTGTCTGAGACATGAAGACACTAAGAGGATCGAGTTGGAATGGGTGCTGGGCAAAGAGGGAGATGGAGAACGATGGCTGAGTTAGTGTGGAATGGAAGGAATCAGCTCCCTCCCCTCTTGTCCCTGTTGGCCTTTTAATACTAGAAGGGACTAATCCCTCCTAATGGGATCAAAATCTTTGCCACTTTATTTACATAACGGATAGAGAGTCCATGCCTTGCCCCATGCGCTAGGAAAGAAGGTGGGGGTGAGGGTTGAAAGCATTATGTAGGGCAGGAGAGCATTGGGGCAGCCCACAGATGAGTCTGATACTGGGTAATGGAACCTAATGTTGCCTGTAATGAGTCAGGGAAGAGAGCATGAACAACTGTCTCCACTACTCCCAATAAATCCCTTTGTACAAAGGGGACAGTGGTTTTCTAAGCTTGCAAAATTGACACGGATTTCCTGCCAGGCAGCCAAATGGACAAGCCTGCTAACAAGGCAGATAAAGCAGAAGTCCATCAAAAAGGGATTAGAAATCTCTCCCTTCTACCACACATGAACAAAACCATCAGTCTCTTAAACCCCCTCCCTCCCGCCCTTCCTCACCCACAAACACTTAGATGCTGCAAGTAAAGCATTCAAAGACTATTTCTTGGGATGGCACAGTCTGAAAGAATAGTCGTTGCTAAAACCAGACACTGGGTGAGCCCTGGCTGGGCATGGCAAACACAAAGGAATGGAAAGATAGAAGGAGAGCACCAGCAGTGAAAAGGACTACTGGAATGAAATTACTGGAGAGAGTAGAGATGTCTGCAGCCCAGAAACAAAGTGTTAGCAGAGCAGCGGTAGCCTAAAATTATATGCAAGCAGATGCAATAGGAAATGCGAATGAAGTGGTCAAATATTTCAAAAATTTTGTTTGGTTGTGTTTTTCTGTAGAGCTCCAGAGATACAAATGCTATGCTTGATAATACTTTCTCCCTACTGCATTTTGCTTATAAATGAAAATTACCTTCCTCGCCACATCTCATTTTGGAACTACAGAAAGCCAAAATGAAAAGAAGGGTTTGAAAAGTTTTATTTATGAATGATAGCTGTCATGTTATAAGAATTCTGTTTCCTCAGGCCACATTTCTGTAGAGAAAGAAAAGATGAAGGGGAGAATTTATTCCTTTTCAGACTGAGGGCACTTCCAGACAGTGCCAAAATACATATTTTAAATCTGGAGCAAAAAATCCCAGGACCTGACAGCAGACCTGTCAGCACCCAGGAAATGGTCCCCCGCTATCCTCACATCTTTCTTTGAAGTGGATCAGACAAGGGACATTTGGAGGAAGTATTTTTTAAAAATCATTTTGTTATGCACTGGACCTCATATGCGCACATGAAAATATCTTAATAGAAACACAAACAGATTTATTCTCTCTCTCTTTGTCCAATTGTTAATTTAACCTCTGTATAAAATTTAAAAGGAGTTCTAATTGCTTTCCACTTGTGCTTCTCTTGATCCCCGTGTGTTTGTGGCTCCATGTTTTGACAGCTCAACCAGGCTTTTTAGGCTTTTAAAAAGCCTGAAAGTCCACATAGGGGGAAGGGAAGGAATGCACATGTTTTGCATGACTGCAGGAATACACAGGTGCACATTTTTCGGGCAGAATCGGGTTTTGAGCACACCATTTTCACACAATCTTTTCAGCTATTAACCCGATTCTGCACACACTTTGGTTAAACGGCATTTAGCCACCACCTCCTTTAACATGGTTACTTCCGGGTTTTTACTCAAGTGTAGAAGGGCCTTAATAGAATGTTCAACATGGTTGTGTGGAAACCATTAAATCCTATTTTTCTCCCCCCTCCCCGCTTTTTTTAACAGAAGCATCTTAACACTAATGTCTTGGCAATCCAGTCTTACAGGAATCACCAGCCCTCACCTGGCTAGGTCTGACATCTTTGCAGTGAGTCATAACTTTTGTACACTGATTCAGCTTCACACACCCCTGAATATTGATATGGCTGTGTGCTGTTACTAGTAGAAATTTTTCAACAGACTGTGTGTTGAAGCAGGGGAAAAAGTGATATCTGTTTATAGCCAGTGTACCTGAGGCAAAGCATGTGGGATTCTCTTTGAATTCCATTGTAAGCATTAAGCTTTTGTGATGCTTCTTAATACAGGACACAGAATGGGAAAACTAGGGTGAAAGAAAGAAGGGGGGAATGCAGCACAAGGGGCTGTACCTAGCAAAGGAATTGTTTGCCAGGTCAGCTAGGGTCAGATCCTGTAGCCCAGCACTGCCTTGCATCCGGAGTGTTTAATGTGAGAGTGAAAATAGATAATAGTCTTGAAGGGAGTTGAAAATGGTTGAGAGAGACTTGCTCCTCGTGTTTTACTACATATTTCTATTGTTCTGTTGTCATCTCCGGTCACAGAGGTTTCATGTGTTTTCGAAACAGAACAAAAACCTGTTTATCAAAGACAAAAATAGAAAAAGGGTGCATTTTGTGAGCAGCAACTCTTTAAAAAACTTCTTCAGGTCTCTGTTAACAAAAAGTATCCTTTGACTCCAGACTGAATTATACTCATAAGTCAGTAGGGGATCTACCATCTTAAATGTGACTGTTGGCTTTTGTATCAGTTTTAATGGCATTCACCAAATTTCCCAAAAATATTGTGAATATTTCTCTTTTGTGACCTTCTGGAGAAAGGGGATACTTTATAACCACATTCTTCAACATAGATTCAGTAGTCCTTCACTGAAAACAAAAAAACAACACTCTTCCCCCAAAAACACATTGTTGAATTTTGGTATATTAACCCATCAATTTGAAATAAATAATAGGCCAGCTGGAAAATTCCTTTTTTTCCCAACTTCACCAGATGCTATCTGGTTCCTACCACTGACTATTATGCAGAGCTTTGAAGATTATTTTTTTTGCTCCCAATAGAGTATTTAAAAAAGGCCTGAAAACACTGTTGTTGTCATTCTTGTGTTGAAAATAGTTCTATTATTAAATGTGAATAGCTTTTACAGTATGATGTTGGCAGCCCTGAGAAATTTGTGTTCACAATGAAAAGGCCAGATACAAATAAAAGAGAGAAACTTGGATAGTTTTGTCAGGCTTTGGTTCTTGATGTTGGTCCCTCCCAGTTTCTTTAGATGCATCTGCATCTACCTTTCCGCTCCCCTTCTTTGCTACATATGCTAAATCTGTATCAATAGCTTTCTGGTTTGTTTAATCCCATCACAGCTGCTGGGTGTGAAAGTTAGCTGGGTAGCTCCAGTGGCTGACAGCTGCGTGCCGCAATCCCTTGCTAGCTGACTGGACTGGTGGCAACTCACAGCAGCTGCTGGGAAACATCATGAGCTGCCTGCACAGGGCAGGGAGCCAAGAATGAAAGCATCACAAGGGACCTTAGGGGCCATCCAGCCCAGTCCCTTGCAATAGCAGGATTCCTCACAGCTCAACAGCTTCGAATAGATTCAAACAGGCAAAGTAAAGGTTTCTACAATTCAGCAAGAGCAGCTCTTCAAAGAAATGATGATGTGATTGGGATGTGTGGCAAATGAAGGGCTGCACAGCAAGGTGGAGAAGAAGAAAGGGACTTAGGAAGAAGTTGAGTTCAAAGGAATGGAGAAAAACTAAATGGCCTAAAGCTAGAATGGGGAATTGTACAGTTGTTGTTGAAATTTTAATTCCCTGTGTTATTCCTCACCATTGGCTATTTTGGCTGGGAGCTGCAGTCCAGCAACATGTGAAAGGATGCACGGTTTTCACTTTTGCTCTTTATCCAATTGCTTGTTTCCACTAGAATACACCTGTGGAATCAGTGGGATGCACCAGTGTTGTCTTCCGTTCTGTCATGGGTTTACTCTAGTTGAAATGAGCAATGGAATTTAGGCTAGGATTTTATTTCTAAAATTACCGAAGGATATTTCAGCTTCTGTTCCCAAAGTAGCACACAAATTAAAGAAAATGTATTCAAATCAGAAAGTAGAAATAACATTGAAACTGAAACCACAGTAATATTTCAAATGGCAAGGTGAATTTCTAAAAGTGGAGCAAAATAGAGTAGATTTTTTTTAGAATGCCATGAGAGATGGTTTCAAAATCCAAAGCTCCAGGACAGCAATACATTCGCATGTAGAGTCCAGAAGCAGCATAACTTTGGCATATCAGAAGATTATTTGTGGTGTGAGGACAATGGAAACAACAAGTACCTGTGTGTTGAAATGAACTCAAGCTGAGGTTTTCCCCATTAGATTTTCACATTATGCTTTCCCATGACACCAGCTTTGTTATTATTTGACATCACCTAGATGGCAACTTGCTCTGTCTTGAAAAATCACACAAAGTCTGTGTGGGAAGGAAGCTCTCAAAATCTGGCTAGTGACAGCATATGGGTTTGGCTCTTCTCTTTGGTCACAGCTTCCTTAGTCTCCCCCAGTTTTCCTTATGCTCTACAATCTTAACCCAAGGGGGCCTTCAGTTATCTCAGCACATCCCCACACACCATATTTTCATGTTCTCCCCCCTGCCTTTTTTGTAGACTCACCAAGCTCTTTCAATGCATTTTGACCCCATCTGATAAACAAACATTCTCTCCCATCCATTTTTATTAATTCCATTCCCTGTGCAGCTGTACTTATGTACAGACACACACACACACATGTGAAACCCAAGGCTGGAGGAGTGGGGGAATTTAAATCTGTTTGAGTGCACTGGCTGCAAATCCAAATCCATCAAGGCATTGTTTGCTGGAGGAGATCTGAGGGGCTTGGGTGCAGTATGGCTGAGATAATTGAGGGATCCTATGAAGCCAAAGGACCCACCCCAGGCTGCCAAGCAAACACAAACCAAGCATCCCTTCTAATTCCTGGCTGGCACAGAAGAATAGGAAAGCTGCCCTTGTACAGACGGTGTGTGCAAAAGGGGAAGCAGCTGTGACTTCATTAGCTGAGTATCCTTGAGGAGGTGTATGCAAGAAACTGGTTTCATCAGGTATGGAAAAAACTCACCCAAATTTTCATAGTGCTTCAGTACTGGAGGGTAAAACATACTGACAAAAAGCATTTTATCCTGATCTCTATGATCTTCCTGTCCATTTTCTATATAGGACATTCGCCTGATATCACACCAATGCAATATTGGTGGGACTGGGAACCTGGAGACAAGAGTAAACGTAATACAGGAGTCAAATATAGTTGGAGATATGTTTGGGATAGAGGAGAAAGGCAGTGTCAGGCAAATGTCCTGCATGATAGTGCACATAAAAACCTTTGGATTTGGATGATGATGCTGTCAAGATCAATTTAGCAAGACTGCCGCCTCAGCCCATTAAGCTTCCCATCACTACCAAAGAGGTAGACTAATTATGACCCAGTAGTGCAGAAGAGGGAGCTAATTCTTCTAGCTCAGAGTTTCCTCAAAGAATGTTCCTCCAGATGATTTGGACTTCAGTTCCCACAATTCCTAACAGCTGGTAAACTGGTTAGGATTTCTGGGAGCTGAAATCCAAAACACCTGGAGAACCAGAGCTTGAGAAACACTGCTTTAGCTGAAAGACTTTCCACTCAACAACTTGGAAAAATGCTGGGGTGAAATGGAGATGTGCTGTCTCCTAGACCACTGCTTTTTAAACTGTGGATCCCGACCCCAAATGAGGTCCCCATAGCTCAATATTGGGGTTGCAAGAAAAAAAAGCAACAGTGAAAGGCTTCTGAACCCCACTCACTTTACACAAATCTGTAAGCAAAAATGTGTGGTGTTTACAGTAGACTTTGCAGAAAATGCTTCAGCTCTACAAAATCAGCTTGTTTAGCAAGACTTGCAAATGCTGATTTATTATCAGTAAATGTTATGGTTTTTATGCCTATTTTATGTATCTGCATACCCAGGGTCATGTAAAAATTTCTCAGACTAAAACGGATCCTAAATGGGAAAAAAATGTAAGAAGCCTTCTTTTAGAAGAAGTGAATTATTTTCTTAGGAATCAATAGTGTTACTCCGCAACACTATTGCACCCTGGGAGTGGGGAAGCAAATCATAGACTGAATACAAATTTTACAGTAGGGATGTAAAATTCATCTTCTCAAATGAATAAACAAGTAATTTAACTATTTCCCTCCTGCTGTTAGAAAGTCTTTGAAAACCGGTTTTTGAAGCCAATTTACAGTTTGGGACTTTATCTGTACAACATTCACAAGTGGATATTTTGTGCAGAAAAACACTGCCTGTATAGGAAATAGAATTTTCAGTGCAAAAACTATATTTCTATGTAGAAAAATTTTTGGACAGGGAAATCTGCTTCCTGTGCAGACAATACTTATGCTTTTATTTAAACCAATCACATCTGAATTTTGCACAGCATAATTACAGCATTATCTATGCAAGCAACAGGTTTTGTTTGTGTAAATAATAATATTCTTTATAGAAACTTGTTTTAGCCCCCCCCCCAAAAAAAAACAACAACTATGTGTGAATTTTGTGGAGACAAATTTGTGAACTGCAAATCAAGATATTGGTCAGACAGAGCTTGTATCAAAACAGACTTTATATTGGAAATAAAACTGCTAGGGATCCTTGCTTCCGCTTCTGCTGTAACACTTTGAAAGTTCCAATTATGTCCACATTTTACAAGAAAAGCAATGACTAACATGCAAATGTGTGAGAGAGGGTCTTCAAGATCTGCTGAAGCTGTGCCTACACTGCTCAGGGTAAGGCATGCTGAGATAATAATGAATGGGTCTTTGCAAAACATATGCTAAGCAAGATCCTAAATGAGTTCTGTATGCGTGGTATGTACATATACAAATGTGGAGTGTATATGTATATATATGAGGATGTGAGTGTGTATACCAGGGGGATGTATGCCAACCTAACCCTACCAACTCCCTGCAATGCCCCTATCACCATCTTCCTAAAGTAAGGCCCCATTCTCTGCTAGCTTGGGGTCTCCACATCCTTGCCTGGCAAATCGAGCCTCATACCAAAAGGTGTTTTCCATTCTTTGGGTATATCAATATGGACAGGTTTTAATTTATACAGTGGACCCCTGGTAACTGATGGAGTTCTGTTCCAAGATCTCCAGTGGATATCAAAACACATGGATGCTCAAGTCCCATTATACACAATGGTAGAATAAAATTATGTTTCCCATATAAGGTGGCAAACAACAAACTATTGCCAGATGACTTTTCCTCTATGGCTGCTGAGGCCGTGGATATGGAGAGGCAACTGTGCTAATTTAATATGGGAGTAACCTGGGAGTCTGCAGCAAATACAGCGATCTGTGTAAATGAAATCTTATTCTCTGTACTTCTACCAACTGTTACACCTTCCCGGGTTATTGTGACAGGGAGGTGAAAGGGAATGCTCAGATCAATGGCTTTCATTTTATGGTAATTATTAGGCTGTTTTGAATTGTGCTTTTCAGTATGCATTGAAAGCTCTTAAACAGAGTAGAAAGGTGGAGCATATTTTTAGCAATATTTTAAACAAATTAACAGGTGTAAAACAGAAGTCATATTGTAGAGAAATAAGCAGTTACCATTCCTTATACTCTATATCTTGGAACTAAATTGCAGTGCAAAAGTTGGGATCATATCTCTCTCCCAGCATGGTTATGAGTTTCTCCCAGGTTCTTCCTAGCCAGAATAACCAATGGGGAGGAATGTTGGGATTTGCAGCTGCTTTAGTTTCACTCCTATTGTAAGTAATATGTACATGGCCAGAATGCATGCCTAAGGTAACAATCAAAAATACGTATACAGGGAAGTAAATCCCATTGAATGCACTGGAACTTACTTCTGTATGAATATTCATAGGACTGAACTGCAGATCTACATTGGGGACCAATTTTAAGGACAACCTGAAAACATCTCCCCAATAAACAGAACAAAAAAAAACCCACCCAACATCCTACCAGTACCTTCCCTGGTCGACAGAAGTTATCAAACAATTCAGTACCTGTGTCACAAACTGGTTTCACGAGTATGCCCCATGTTCATGAGAAAAGAATGGTTATTCAGTGCAAGTGTTGTATGGGGAACAGTCTAAGAGCATCACTGAATAAGACTGGATCTACAATGCCACATAATTAAGTATCTGATCCCAGGTAATCTATTTTGGACTGGATTATATGAGTCTACATGACATAACTTCCAGTTCAAAGCAGATAATCTGGGATCAGATGCTGGATTATATGGCAGTGTAGAAGGGGCCTAAGAACATGGAAAGATGGAAAGAAGGTCACATAGATGCACAAGTGAAGAGTAAAAAATTGGGCAAGCAATTGAAAGGACATGTGTTAAATCATATTGGCAAACTGCCTTCATTCTCCATGGTGACTTGTGAGGCAGGAAGAAATAACAGAAAACACGAGCCTGCTCCTGTCCCTTTTCCAACCTCCCTTCTGTGGGCTACAAAGTCAGAACATGATCCCTCCATTCTGAGCTCTGGTCTACAACTCTAGGGGCTGTCTTGACTAAATGCTCTATATAAATACAATGGACCCTTGGTATCCAGTGGTAATTGGTTCCAGGAATTCCTGTAGATACAAAAATCTCTAAATACTAGAATCACCTTATACACACAGTGGCTTATGAAAATTGTGTCTTATATTTTAAATAGCAAAATCAAGGTTTGTTTGGCAGATAAAAAACATTTCAGGCTGTAGATAGCTGAATCCATGGATGTAGAATCTGTGGACAGTGAAGGGTGATGGTAAATAATAAATTGTACCCATTTTTAGAGCTTCATATATTTTGTCTGTTGTGTCCAATCACTTACTTTGCCCTCCCCTTTCCAACACATAAACACCTACAAGCCCCAAGAGATAGACTAGACGCCTCTGCCCCTGACAACTAAGATATTAAGTCATTGTAGAAACAAAATGTCAGTGAGACTTGCATCACTTCACTGCCAGAATTATCCAAAGATAATTACACATTTCATACTTCAGAACGGTGAAACATTTGACAAACGGCATCATTTTTCCTCCTTATATAAGTCGCAAAACAAGATCTTAAAAACTACTTTCAATAGAGTAATAGAAGCCCTCACTTTTTATGAACGTCAATACAATCACTCAACTATGTCATACAAGGTAGGGCTGAATCCAAACAAAATTGGAACTATGTCACTGTCTTCTGTTCCAAAAGGCAACAGCTTAATAAGAATGGATGGAGATGTGATACCAATCTATTGAGCCAGAAGCATGACAGAGTGGAAGCCCCTCAAAGGAACTGAGGTGAGTTCCAGTAGTTATTCCAACACGGGCAAATTGAATGTAGGCAACAAATATGGCAGTATCTAAGAAAAGACAATATTTTATGAGTATGTCTGAAGTCTGAACAGGGATGTGAGGGGATAGATTATATCTCTCTTTCTATATTATTTTCATAGTATTATAGCAGAGCAAAATAGACATGTACCATCTTCATATTTCCATCTTCATAGAAATATTTGAGTTATTTCACAGACATGTATGCTGACAGATGAGCCACTTCCCAGGTTTCTAGTCCTCAAAGTGTTGGAAACTTAATATCAAAATCATAACCACATTTTTTCTACAGGTATAGCATCCAAAACAAATGATTCTTGAGTTCAGAGGTTCCTAACTGAGCAGAGTCACAGCTGTTCACTTTTTATTTGGGTATAGACTTGTCTTTGGCACACACACACAGAAAACGAAAAGTTTTCCAAGTATTGAAGCCTGATTTTGCTATGGGGCTACTCTTGCTTCTTCTACAGTAGTCAATGTTTCATCTGTTTCTAAAGGACCTTCATGAATCCGTAGAAGAGCCTCATCAGGCATTCCTCAATGAGAAAATCAGAAAATAGAAAATATGCTTCCTTGAAAGATAGCTTGCCCACCACTCACAACCCCCTGTGAACACCCTCCCCCCCCATGCACAACTGCACCAGAAAGTTGGATGGGTTCTCTTGCACACGCTCAATTCATGCAGAACAATAATGAGAGTCAACTGGCCTGTCTGGTGCCTGGCTCACTTGCATCAAGGGAGAATATTCCTAGAAGACTTCAATGGGGCATAGGGGCTCTGCAAGGTGTAAAGAGATCTGGAGGGGGGATTCTTTTTGCTGTCCTTAAATCACTGCTTTAGAAGTGTAGCTGAAGGAGGAAAAGCAGAAAATAAAGCCCTGTATTCTGTATAAACCCATGAGAAGATGGATTTGTGTGTTTCATTGCTAACTACAAGGCCAGAGACATTATGTTGGGGAACAAGGCCAGACCACACAGCTTGCACACACGATCACACCTAGAGGACAGGAAGCCAAGGTCTGGGCTAAGTGTGGTTAAGCTTATGTCTCTAATAGAGCCTCATGTGCACAGGACATATTCTCCTTTCCACAAAGTTGCTGCAGGCATTTCTCATTTATGTTCAGGCCCACAGCCAACCAAGACTTGGTTATTTTAAGCAGACATATTTCAAGTAATAGCCCAACTGGGGGATGCCCTGGATTCATTCTCTCTCTATTAGGAAGCAAGAAGCAGTGTTAGAATCGTATGATGCAGGAAGGCATAAGGTTCTTAAGCCAGTCAACTTGACAAGTTTATGTGAAGTTTATAAAACACCAACCTGTGCACTGGAACTATTGGCATGAAATTTTCTGTAATCAAGAGAAGTACAATGCAAGCAGCTGGAAAATATTATGGTGGAAAACTATGCAGAAGATCCATGGAAAATGTCCTGTTCTTCCCAATCAATGTTGTATTAATAAATTGCAGAGCTGCAGCTTGGTGAAGCTCCTGTTCTATTTGGGAGAGAGGGCAAAAGACCTTGTAAAACCTTAACTCCCTTAATTCCATAGTATTGAGCCATGGCAGTGAAAGTTGCATCAAAAAAGTATTAATTCTATAGTATAGATGCACCCAGACTGCAGCCAGGAAATCAGAAGACATTTACTTCTTGGGAGGAGAGCAATGAGCCAATCTCGATAAAATAGTGAAGAGTAGAGACATCACACTGGCAATGAAGATCCACATAGTATTCCTCATAGTAACCTATGAATGTGAGAGCTGAACCATAAGGAAGGATGAGTGAAGGAAGATAGCTGCTTTTGAACTGTGGTGCTGGAGGAAAATTCTGACAGTGCCTTGGACCGCAAGAAGATCCAACCAGTCCATACTCCAGGAAATAAAGCCTAACTGGAGGGAAGGATATTAGAGGAAAAGATGAAGAACTTTGGCCACATAATGAGAAAACAGGAAATCTTGGAGAAGATAATGATGCTGGGGAAAATGGAAAGAAAAAGGAAGAGGGGCTGACCAAGGGCAAGATGGATGGATATTATCCTTGAAGTGACTGGTGTGACCTTGAAGGAGCTGTGGGTGGCCATGGCCAACAGGGAACTCTGGCATGGGCTGGTCCATGAGGTCATGAAGAGTTGGAAGCGACTGAATGAATAAACAATGAGAAGATGCACCCATAGACTTAGAAGATATCTAGATGCATATATTATTTCTTGATTCTGATGCAAAGCTACTTCACTCAAGTGGTAAAGTTAAGTCTGTATTGAATTTTTGAGCAGAATCTCCAAGGTAAAGGGGGCTTTTTAGATATGCAAAATGTTCCCTAAATCCCCTTGAAGAATATTTTCACCTTGCTCTACTTCCTAATTTTCCAACTTCATTGGTGATGCTTCATTATTATTCCATCTTCACTCCTCTTTTTTCAAGTAAACTAAGACAATCAGAGACTACATTGTAAATACACTGCATAATCACACTGCTTTGTTGCCAATACATTTTGGCTAAGTGATTATATCACTGAGGGAAAACAAATTCTGTGCCATCACTCTGCATAATATACATGGATACAACAGGAACATGGCAACTACTGCACATTTTTGCCCATTCTTGAGTCCTTCAAAGAAAACAGAGCATTCAAAATGTAAGACAGGTTTATGATAATCCATCCATTTCAGCTCTGCCCTAGTTGAAGTACCTACTGAGGCAAAACTGAGAAGCTGTCTCTAAGGATGGAAAGAATATTTCTAATTATTTGTACTAGGTTGAAATACAGGTTTTCCCAGCAATTGGGAAAACCTGTTGGGAAAAATAAAAGACCAGCATGAATTTTGTGCAATTTTCTCCTTGTCCTGCAGTGTTGAGGAAGACAGAAAAAATATGTGTTCTTTTGACCCAGGATTCACATTTCTGAAATACTGTAAGAGGAATACAGTACTCATTTTCTCTGGTGGCAGGACAAAAATACCACCATTCTATGTCACTGCATGTGAGGGCAATGCCATTGAGAATTTGCATCTGTAGCTGTGACCCTTTAAGTCATTTGATCTCAAATTCCCATTGGCACTGGCCAGCACAACCAATGGAGAGTCATGATGGGAGCAATAGTTCAGCAAAACCTGGAGTCCATTGCCCTATTGCTGAGTGCCTGAAAGATGTATCTGTGGTCATCTGTTGAGGGCATTGGCTGTTAGTCTTCTGCCATTGTTTTCAGAGGATATATTTTTGTCACTTCCATAAAGAATTGAAATTTCTCCCTAGGGCTTGAAGATGGTGCTCCTGCCCATGTGAAGCCTAGGAATACGGCTCAGTGGGAAAGAGGGATCAGGCAAGATATTTATGGTAGGTAGGATGGGCCTTTCAGGAAGACAGTAACCGTGCATTTCATGAAACAGTTACGAGGAGGTGGAGGAAGATGGAAGGACCTTCATCAGGACATTTTTTTCTATGTAGAGAAAAAGATGGAAAGTTGGTTTTATACACTGAACCATCACGGAGATTAAGATCCTCCGGGGAGGCCCTGCTTTCCGTCTGACCATTGTCAGAGGCACGATTGGTGGGGACGAGAGACAGGGTCTTCTCGGTGATTGCTCCCCAGCTATGGAACTCGCTTCTGGTGAGAGCCTTGAACAGAGAGGATCTAGAGATGGGGGATCTTTCTTTGTGCCTTTAAGCTGTCCGTTTCCAGATGCTTTTTGCTGGCAACTGCTGGCAACTGCTCTCCTCTGTTGGTCTCGCCCGAAGATGAGGAATTTGAGGGGTGTAGATATGCTTTTCCCCCCAACCGTCTCTCCGATGCATGGAGCCGAAGCTCCATGCAACTTTCTCTCCTCAGCTCCAACCAGAATTCCTTTAGAAGGATGGTAAAAACTTGGCTATGGGACAGGGCAATAAAGCAGTAATAGGAAAGATTACCAGGCCAATTAGATTTGACGCTGATGACTAGGACGGTTTAAAATGGTGTATTTTAATATTGAGATAAATGTTTTTAATGTTTATGTACATGTATATGAACCGCTTAGAGTCGCCTTGGCTGATATAGGCGGTATACAAAAGAAGTTAATAAATAAATAAATAAATAAATAAATTTGTGTCCCGGCATTGAATGTTTGCCGTATATATGCTATGATCCGCCCTGAGTCCCCTTCGGGATGAGAAGGGCGGAATATGAATGTTTTAAATAAATAAATATAAATAAATAAGCTGCATATACAGTATGATTGAGTTCAAAAGACATAAAACCTGAATACTAATACAGTAGTCAGTATCAGTAGTACTGAACAAAATGTTCTAGCTAAAAATTGTCAACCCCATTTCTATCAAATGAGAGTATTCCTGGGGCAGAGAAAAAGAGAGGGAGGAAGAATGAAAGAAAGAAAGAAAAAGAGAGAGCGAGAAAAAGAGAAACAGCCCAAACAACTACGATTAGAAAGTTGATCCCCAAAGGGAAGAACTGGGCTAGCATTTAACTAAAAGCCTGTGTGCTATTTATACACCATTAAACACACACATGGGGAACCAGCTAAAAGCTGAGATGTCTCCTACTTGCATAGTACGTTTTGTTTCTACATGAGGTATGGATTGAGCAAAGATGGGGAAGAAGCCCTGTAATTTGCTTCAGGAGGCCATGGAGGCAAATCATCCACTTAAAACCCATGAATACCTCTCTCTGTATATCCTTGAGTACATTTGCTTTGTGAAGCCTGCTGAGTTATGAATACTTGGGCAAAAAATGTCTTGGTCTTTTTCAGTGCACTCAAGCAATTTAAGCATCCCTTCCTTTGGCACATCAAAATCCAACTTTACTTGTAAAATGCAGCCATGCATATTTAGTGTCAAGTGTGTGTCCCTTTGGGGAACAGATCCCCAAAGACACCTTACTTCCCTTCTTTCTTGAGGGTAGTGTAGTCAAAGACTTGTCTAGGAAAACTCTTATGTTTGATCAGAATAAATTCACAACCCCAAGGGATTGGGATGAG